CAAGCTTGCTACAAGCCCGTTGAGGAAATATCTTGTTGACAAGTTGTTGGAACAGCATTGTCACAACTTGTTAACAAGCTTGCTACAAGCCCGTTGAGGAAATATCTTGTTGACAAGTTGTTGGAGCAGCATTATCACAACTTGTTAACAAGCTTGCTACAAGCCTGTTGAGGAAATATCTTGTTGACAAGTTGTTGGAACAGCATTGTCACAGCTTGTTAACAAGCTTGCTACAAGCCTGTTGAGGAGACATCTTGTTGACAAGTTGTTGGAACAGCATTGTCACAATTTCGGTGAACTTTGCGCCATCTGACCTTGGTACAACCGTCCCCTGTTGTTTGGCGAGGTTTTGTGATATATCATGATTACGTATTTGATAATATTTCAGGGTTCTGGCAAGACATACACAATTGGCAGTTCAAACACATCAGAACTACTCGATGATGAATATGGAGTCATACCCAGAGCTTTGGAACAAATATTTCACGTGATTCAGGTTGAGAAACTCTTTGTTAATACCTCGTTATTTGCCTTTTTACTAAGTTTACTTGCCTTTTTATTAAGTTTACTTGCCTTTTTACTAAGTTTGCTTGCTTCATTTGAAATGGAATTGGACAGTGGCGTCGGAACAGTTTTTATTTTGTGGGGGCCAGTTTCCATAAATTGTCCAACATATAAACATTTTCCCTGGAAATGTTGGCAGGGGCGAAAAATATTTCGCACCTAACATATTTCCGACTTTTATTTTTAATACACGTACTAGCTTTCTTTCATCTTTCATGAATTTTTTCTCTAAATTTGCCCAATTTTTGTACAGTATATGAATACAGTATATAAAATTTAGAATCTTATCCGTGTTTTTTTTGGGTAGGGGAGGAGGTGGGGGGGGGGTGGAGGCTGCCCACCCCATTCCACCGCCTATGAAATTTGATGGTATCTTAATGCGTATAAGGTCAAACTTTAATGCGAGCAATGCTTTAAATTCTCATTCTTAGGAGCATAAAGACAAGATCCATTTCGTCGTGAGTGCTTCGTATATTGAGATCTACATGGAGGAAGTGCGCGATCTCCTGGATCTAGAAACCTCCACAAAAGATATTCACATCAGAGAGGATGAACATGGCAATACAGGTGACTAGGATTATGAATATGAATATTATGAATATGAGCAATGACACAGATCATTCTGTTGCTTTGCAAGCATTGGGCTAGAAGCCGCTAAAAACAGAAAGGAAGGAAAGCAAAGCAAAAATCATGTACAAATTATTAAATAACATGAGTCGCAAGTCGCTCACTAATCTTTTCACATATAAAGATGAGATGACAAACTACAAACTTCGGAACATTTCAAGTAGTCTTTGTTTACCACAACCGCGTACTAATAACATGAAAAAAGTTTTATCTATGATGGAGCATACCTTTGGAATTCTATTCCAAAAAAAATTAGAGAGAGCAAATCCCTTTCTTCCTTTCGAAAGAAAATCGCTACTAACATTGATTGATATGTAGGTAATGTAAATATAGTGCGAAGGTTCGCTCGAAACGTCGAGTTTCTGCTTGTTTTTTAAGGTAGTGATATAACCACTCAGCACAGCATTTTCACATTGGTACTACCTACACTGGTACAGACAGTTTTAATGTAAATATAGATCTACCTGTAAATAGATTATTATACTGGTTAATTACGTTAATACAATATATCATATATAATTTTGTAAATAGTTTTTAAAATTCTTTATATGTACACCCTTAACCGTTACAATATGATATCATACGGGTTATAAACAGCACTGAAATTAAAGTACAATTGGTCTCCAGTTTTAAACAGTATACCAATCTGACATTGTTTTAAACTTATAAGCTAATCATAATTGTTTGATAACCAGCCCTTCATGTATCCGTTTGAAGTCCTGGCTAATAATAATTTGCGTATGGCCAATACTGTTTTACTCTGCTGAGGCTCCGGCTATTAATTGATGAGCAAAGCGAGTATGCAAAGAATGGGACATCGAAGCTTCAAGGGCGCTGTGAGTTGAGTGGTGGGCAAAGGGAGGCTTTGTGTATTTGGTATATTTTCTGAGTGCAAGACTGGGCTAAAAATTTCAGCTTGTCATGACTGCAAGTACCGGCGAATTACACACAACCTCTGGCGCATGGCTGTCAAATGCCTTCTTAGCGCTGGCGAAATTCGCCGGCCTACACCAAGACGGGTGGATAACAGTTTCCAAACAGTATATGAACAAGCTTTCGTTGCTAAGGATGCGACTAACTGAAAAATATATAAGGAGAATTTCGGCGTTTCGAGCGAAGGCCCTTCATCTGGAGTTACTCAAGGGCCTTCGCCCGAAACGTCGAAATTCTCCTTATATATTTTTCAGGTAGTTGCATTCCTACCAAAGAAAGCTTGTTTTTCAAGATGATATTTCCAAACACTACATTGATCTTCAAAAAAGTGACATCAATTATTTGATATTATTTCTTGAAGTAATCACTGGAGCAACAGAACAGGTTGTGGAAACTGCAGATGAAGCATTGAGTTGTCTGGACGCTGGGGCGGCTGGTCGCCATGTTGGGAGCACAAATATGAACGAACATTCAAGCAGATCTCATGCCATATTTACTCTTTATATTGGTTAGCTAACTTACATGTTGTTTAACCTATTGAGTGCCAGCCCTCTCCCCTTGACGAGTAGTTATAGAGAGAAGTTTTCTTTCATTACAGCTGAATGTAAAAGCTGATACCTGGAGCCTAATAGACCAATCCCCAATTGATCTCAACAAGTCTAGACAAAATTCCATCACAGCATGAAAGAGCATCACAAAATTAGTAATATTCCAAAGTTTCGTTGCGAAATGTTGTAAAATGCAGATAATATAGCCTTGCGAAGTTTGCAATTTTCAGTGGCATTTTGTATTGCGAGCGGGAAACGGTTACAACTTTTCCAAAATTTTGATCTCAACTAGCCTAAACAAAAATTTCATCACAGCTTGAAAGAGCATCACAAAATTAGTAATATTCCAAAGTTTCGTTGCGAAATGTTGTAAAATGCGGATAATATAGCCTTGCGAAGTTTGCAATTTTCAGTCATTTTGCATTACGAACGGGAAGTGGTAACCATTTCCCGCTTGTAATAGTGATGCTCTTTCATGCTGTGATGGAATTTTGTCTGAGACTTGTTGAGATCAAAACGTTGGTTAATTGGGGATTGGTCCATTAATGCTCGTATCCCGCAGGTTTTCTGGATTTATGGCTGTGATTAGGTTTATTTGGAAAATAAAATTTGGCTTTGTGGGAACATATTATTGACTCAGTGTAACTCAGCCCAAAGTGTGTCTGTCTTATCCTAAAAGATAGAAGCTTGAAATATATTGTGGCACAAACCACATCAACTTAAGTTGTTTATTTTTGTAGATTTTTATTAATTTTGTGATTCTGTTGTTTTTCACAGAGCAACACACGATTCAGGCTGAGGAAAAAGAGAACGAAGACAATCCTGTCACAGCTGGTACGTTTGTGGAACAAAAATACATTCACTCAGATAGAAGGTCACCTGACCTTTTTGCGTGTGAGATGCATGTGTTAGCAATGGTATTGAATTTGAATTTATTTGATTAACTACCATACCAATATTGTATGATCTATATATTTACATACTGATAACAACAACTATACTAGTACCAGCTATTCTTAATATTTTGCAAAATTTGCAAAAAGAAACGACAAAGCTTATATAAATTTAGGCTCCCTTTATTGGACAGAATCTTTTGCAACAAATATAGAAAGAATATTGAACTTAAGTATACACACATTTTTGACACATATTTAATACAATTTTGACTAACATCTCACAAACAACTTACTAATAGTTTAAAGTCAAATAAGCTTTTAATTTCGTTTTAAATAAGACGAAAGAGTGTATGTTCACGAGGAAGAGAATTAAAACATTTTGGACCTTGAAAGTAAACTGAAGGTTGTTTGATATTTGTTCTGCACAAAGGCACACGGTAATTAATGGAATTTCTTGTGTTGAATGCGTGAATTTGATTAGTTTCTGGTTGTAAGCACTAAGCAGATGTCTACAGATGGATCATCAGCAGCATGCACCACAGTTGGGATTTAACATCTCTGGTAAATCAGGGCTTGAAATAGCAGCGAACGAAATTATTTATGATTCAGGCGGAAAAGCAGGGTTTTTCAATCTGAAAAAGCAGGGAAAGTCATGACTGTCGATTACCATGATCGGGAACTTTGGGAATTTTATTTCAAACCATATAAATAGCCGTCTACACTGATTGCTCTGCACGGACATTATGGCCGACCGTTTTGTCTCATTAATTTGAATATTTCTTTATTTATTTATTACAAATCTTTTTAACAAAATTTGTCCCGATCTTGTCCCGAGACTAATTAGGCTTTCTTGC